TATAGAATGTAAAGAGTGTGGCTCCTAGAATGCTCCCTTGTGGGATGCCGCTGATAACTGGTGGAGGGTTTGATAGGGAGTTTCCTATTTTTACTATTTGTTGCCTATTTGACAGGAAGGCAGTAATCCACTTATGAAGGGATTCAGAAATGCCGTAAGAATTTAATTTTAATAGTAATTTATTCCTGGGGGGAAGCATTAAAATTTAAACAGGATGTTATGTGGCTAAATATTGTTTGCTCCTATCTCTGGTATGATTTGAATAGGTTCCAGAAAAGTCCCCAGCCACAAAGATGCATTGGGTGATAATTTATGAATCTATCTAGAAGAATAATAGAACATTAAATTAAAGTTGGCCTTGCCATGCTAAAGCTGCCATTACATGTAAATGTAATTGTGTATCCCACCAAATTCAGTGGAATTCACAGTGTAAATATTATTGAATACATTAATAATCCACATCGTTTATCTTTGGTTTATCCTTCATCACACTATTATTGAGCAGGGACATTCTCAAATTCCATTATCTGCTTTAAACTAGTGAGAAAATTATCTGCTAATCTATTTACATTAATCTTATTTTATGCTCTTTTCTGTCTGTTTAATATTATAAATTAATACAAATTTTGTTATTTAGGGACAAAAGCATTTTTCCTGAATCCTTGAATGAGAATGGTTTTCAGTTGCACTTTGGGGTAAATTTATTTTTTTATGGGTTTTTTGAACGAAATACAGCTATTTTTTGTAACTATCTGAAAAGAATTGAAAACTACAAGCTATTCTCTAAGATAAATTTCAATACAAATTTTCTGTATACTTTCTGGGCGAAATATAACTTTATTGACAAGCAATACTCTTTGTCTCTTGGAGGAAACAATTAAACAATAATCATGAGCTACACTAAATCGCATTTTAAAGGGTTTGGACTTATTCTTACTTGCTGCAGATGGTAACACAAGAACGAAAGGAATGATATTAATCTAGGATATAGATTAGATATTAGAACCATTTCTTGGCAGTAAGAGATATTAATCAATTAATGAATAAATTCCCATATGAAGGGGTGTGTTCCCATTCACTGGAGAATTTCAGAGTCTCCATTGTTATATATTAGGAATGGTGCAGTGATTCCTAGACTATACCAGGAGTTGGATTTGATGACCCTTTAGGTCCTTTCCAATTCAATGATTCTATGTGAAAACAATCATATTTTTATAGATTATGTTTTTTGGATGTTAGACATGCATGTGCCTGTTATAAGAGTCAATGATCAGTGTCAATCTATATATATAAAAGTGAAATACCATTCATGCATCATCATAAAATCTTCAACAACCGTAAAGTCTATGAACTTGAAATTTGGCATGTATGTTCCTCTTGGCTTCTAGGTGTTCACTAAGAAAGGATTTTTCAAAATGACCATACCAATGAGCATTAGTATTTTGTATGTTATTATTAACACACTCTGATGCTAAGGAGTTCTACTGCCCCTCCCCACCTGAAAAAATATATGTTCCAAATGCAAAACACAAGCAGAGATGAGTTTCTGTTTCAGTTTTAGTTTCATAGCAGCAACCAGCTTTAGTACAGAACAGTTGAGCTAAGCCATGCCCAGGCTCCTTGCTGTCTCCTTCTTGCTCACACAGCAAATACTGCTTCATTTTCCAAACAGCCCTCAATTCTCTCACACACTGACAGGACTCTAGCCAGATGAATACTGATGGATGCTGGTTGGCAGAGGCACAATTCCCCCCTCCCCCCCCATTATTTTCCTCCCAAAAAACTAAGCCCAATCACATAGTTTCATAGCGAAGCACGGGTATAGAGTTAGTATTTAAATAATCCCATATTTTTAAAGAAAATCAAAAGAGCTTTGTATGAAAGTGTGTATTTCTGTTCTATTATTAATACTGTTGAAAAGTAACTATATGCTGAAATCAAAGATCATAGAATTGTTTGGTTTTTAAATGGTATTCAGTTTTTTTTCCTTAAGATTAAAAATCTGTGAAGTCCATTTTGTAAAGTGATCTAAATAAAATAAAGCTATATCACCATTATAAATGACTACAGATTGTTTAATAATATTTTGATGTATTGAAGCAAGCACAGATATAAATATGTTCAAACTTGAAATTTATGTCTTTTTACTGTATGATAATATCAGATGTCTTTTCTGTCTGGGATTTTACTATAGACTTTCCATACAAATGCTCAATTTATTTGATACATTCCCACCCTGTCCCCATCAGGCAGAAAATGTCTGTTTTCTTTGTGCAAAACCAAGAAAGGTGCATTACTATCATGAGAATTTGATGCTCGGATACTCACTTGTTTTATCTCTTACAAATATTATAAAAGAAGTATCAGAGCAGTAGATAATTTTTCAACCTGATGTTCTTTGGGTGTGTTAGACTTCAACTTTTATGAACTCTCAGTCTTTGGGCCACTAGGTTTGGAAATAACAAATTGGAGAATATGTTGCATTTGGGTAAGATTGCAGGCCTGTATATTCCCAACTTATCTATGAATCTTGAATAACTCTTTGTCTCCACTTATTTGGCCACTGGGGAGCATTCTGAAGTTCATGGACTGTTCCCAGAAACATGTTGGCGGCCATCTGTTAATATTGTATGTTGAATAGATGAAGTTAGTTCAGAATTATCATTAAGAAACAAGAAGGCAGTGATAAGTACAATTTTCCTTTCACATGAAGAAATTAGTCATATCAGTTATAGAGATTAAGGCGTAATGAATGTAACTCTAAGAGTTCTTAGAAGAAAGGGGTCAAAAGATTACAGTAAGTATACATTGAACAGATTTTACTTTCTTTTGTACTATAATTGCCTCTGTTCCTTAATTAGTTGAAAAAAAATCTATAATTTGATTCCTTATAGCTAAGAATCTATTGATAATATCCTTATTTAGTAAAACAAAGGGGATTTGATATAAGAAGCATTATTATTAGGACTACAATTTCTGAACCTTAGAAATACCACTAGATGGTAGCAAATAGATACAGAAAACTTTACAATTTTAAATCTCTGTGGTTTGGGGAGCTTTTCAGTCCAGGCTTAAGTATTATGTTGCCTCTTGAAAGAATATACAGTTATGTGAGCTAGCCATAAAAATAATAAAGAAGATATGTTAATAAAATATACAAATGAAAAACTTTGAAAAGGGAAGGGGCATGAAGCTGCTATTAAACCCAAGATCTGAAGAAGTCTGCAAAAAGGCTTCTGTATCTAATGTGTTTAGCAAATAAATATAGTATACTATATATATGGTTTGAAGTGTCTTTGAATATTAGTAGCTCGGGTTGGTAGTTATGTTATTGGTTCAAGCTCCGAGCATAGGAATTTGGTTGCAAACATTTTCTCCCCATTTGACAAGACTTCTTCAGTGCACTTTGGATTGTGCTTGTCTGGGGGAACACTAGCCTTTAAATACCTTTCTGAGTCCTGGTCTGATTTCAGATTGATTTGATCGGCCAACCACATCACATGCAGCCGACCAAATCAACCTGAAACCAGACCATGACATCATCAGAAGACATCCGAACAACACCAGCACTAATTTACATCACAGAGACGGTACTTAAAATCAAGGACTATGATTCAGCAACTACAACCATCCAAACATACAACCTGAAATCAGACCAGGACTCAGACACAATCCAAAGTACACTGAAGATGTCTCCTCAAATGGGGACGAAACGTTTGCAACCAAATCTCCACGCTCGGAGCTCAAACCAACGACATATATATGGTTTACTTCACCCTTTGTACTACACACACACACACACACACACACACACACACACTATATGTATACATATATAGGATGCAAATACATTTATGAAACCATTTACATCAGTGGTGGGATTCAAAAATATTTTACTACCGGTTCTGTGGGCATGGTTTGGTGGGAGTGCCAGGGAAAGGTTACTGCAAAATCCCATTCCCTCCCCACCCTACTAACCTCCTTTCCAGCTCCGTTCTCCTGTGCAGAGTCACAAAAGAAGACCCAGCCGATCAGCTGGAACTTGGGAGGCAGAGAATAGATGGGGGTGGGGCCAGTCAGAGGTGGTATTTGCTGGTTCTCCAAACTACTCAAAATTTCCGCTATGGGCTCTCCAGAACTGGTCAGAACCTGCTGAATACCACCTCTAATTTACATATGATTCATTATTTGAATACTTGATACAAACAGAGAAATAGATAATGGTAAACCCTGGCATTCACATTAAAATACATGTACACATTGGTAGCCGATTAAATATATAATAGATAAGTACAGACAGAGCATTCATTCCTAATCAAGATCTAGCTAACAGAAATGCAAACTAAATAATAGCTTACTTGGCCTGATGTTGGCTTCCTGACCACCAGCTTCTTTGGTACATATCCAGATTTTATGCTAAAATTTGTTGCATTGTTCAAGAACTGGGAAAATATCATAATGATATTAGAAGACTATACACAAATTAGGGGAGAATACAAAATCTCTTTTTTACTTTTAATTTGTTAATGGCTCTTGGCACATCTCTTATAAAGAAGGCATGGGAAACATTAACATTTTCTTCCAGGCCTTTTGCATAAGCATCTTTTCTGCTGTGTAGAGTCATTCATGTGGCAAACTTTACAGGTAAGAAAGCAGAAGAACATGTACTGGTGACTCAAATCCTAAATGATGGATTACTCAGAGAAACAGAATAATACATTTTCAATGATGAGTGTTTTAATAGAGAGGTTCTGAATTGTTAAAAAAATGGTAAGGTGGCTAACAAGGAAAGAAAATGTTGCATAGTAGGTTTTACATAATAAACAGTAAATTGAAAATGGTTTCTGAAAGTATTCAGGAATAGAATGTTTCAGGAGCATTTTTAAAAAAATCATTTCAGATCATCTATCAAGAAGTCTCTCTAGATGCTTTTTGTTATAATCTAGCTTTCTGGAAACCATATTTAATTATCTTTATCTAATCCAATTCTATATTTTCAGAGCTCTCAGCACAGTGGTTCCTCTACCTCACTAGCCTCTACCAAAGTCTGCAGTTCGATGGATGAAACCGATGGGCCTGGTGAAGGTAATATAAGTAGATAAAATGCCTCTCTGTTTGAAAAATGATAATACAAAGGTCTCTATGCTTTATTGCATCTAAAAGTTAAAGAAAGATTGTTAATATTAGGGCAGAATTGATGTTTTGTATTAAACTGTCTTTGGCATCTATGTATTACTGAATAATCAGGTACTTCCATAGTCATTTTCCATTTTTTCCAAAAGTCAAAATATTCCTACAGTATATCGTATACTAAGAATGAAAGTACATATCCTTGACAAAAAAAAAATATGTTTGGTTAACTTTCTAGTTCAGATTGTTTATATAGGTTTTAATTGATATGCCTAAACCTTTTGTATACAAGCTACAAATATGAGGGATTATATAATAATTGCATCTGAACTGAACTATTGTGAATGTTAGTCTGCACCCTAGTTTGGATCTTTCATTGACTGCAGACATCAACAATCCTCATTCATAGGTGAGGCATGATTCTTGTTCATCCACAAATCAACTGATACTGTAGCCCAGAAAGGGAGATAAATTTTCTAGGGAGAGAAAAATTGATTCCCCTGAAAAGGTAGAAGCAGAACTAGAAATGGGAACTGAGGGAGAAGCTATGGGTTGAAACTGGGAAAAGAAGGGTCTGTTATTTTGCAGTGTTTCAGATTAAGGCTGGATTTCTAGCAAAAAGGGATTTCCAACTAAATGAAAGGATGCTTCAGTTTTTTTTTTAAAAAAAAATGCTATTTCTTTAGAAATAAATAAATATATTCTGTCGAGGTCTTGCATTTAACCTTTCCTCCTTTTTTGTGCTGCTAAATCATTTTTATTTGCTAGTGAATTCTATATAATTTCAGGCTTCTTCCAGTGTTTAAGGTGAGCATGTGTATGTTATTTATAATTTTCTTATGATGTATAAGTTGAACTCCATCAAACATCTATTTTGAGATTCTGCCAGAGAAATTCTTATTTGTAGCAGACCGTTAACATCATACAGGTCTTTACCAAAATCTGAGTGTTTCTTGCTTTCTTTTTTGCTGAGATTATCAATCTTCCTGACATTAATCTTGAAACCCTGCCAAGTAATTTTCCTGCACAACTTTTGTCTAGTATAATTAAGGGTAAATTACTCTTTAAACTGTTTCATGTGCTTTTCCCTTTTCCTGGATATAGGAATCTCTCCTGTAACATCCCTTGTACCTCCCTTAACTACATTCACAAAGTTTGTTAGGCATCTCATCTCAAGCTAGGGATAAATAATCACTTGAAATTCATTATGTTGAGATGATAAAATACAAAGACCTTCTGGATGCTCAAGGAACTTTAAAATCTTGGCAGGATCTCCAAGAACAAGGGCTACGAGTAGACCAGTGGGCTTACCTGCAAATTCAAAATAGATACAGTCAGGATAAGAAAAATTTCGGAATTTATGCTAAGGTACAACAACTAGATAAAATCTTACTGGGTCCTGATAAAAAAATATGACCAAATTCTATAATTATCTATTAGAGATAGAATTAGAAGAGGAAGTAGTCAAAGGCAACTTGATAGCTTGGAGTAGAAATATAGGACATAGCATCACATTATCAGAATGGGAAAAGGTCTGGATCAGGAATAATAAAATCATAAAATCAGCAACATATAAAGAAAATGCCTATAAAATGTTTTATGGATGGCACCTCCCCGCTTCGAGAATAGCGTAGATGTCTCCTAACATGAATCTGAATTGCTGGAAATGTAAAAAGAAACACGGAACATTCTTTCATATGTGGTGGTCCTGCACTGAAACCCAAAGATACTAGTGTAGGATAAAAAAATGGTTAGAGGAAATGATGGAGCAAATTGAATTAAAACCAGAATTCTTCCTATTAGGGATATTGAATAGACAACTTTCTAAAAAAGCTAAATATATAATATTGCACATTCTTACTACAGCCAGATTAGCCTTCGCACAGTGTTGGAAACAAGCTGTCATTCCAACAGAGGAAATGATCATTCAGAAAATAACAGCCTGTGCAGAGATGGATAAATTAACCCTAGCACTTAAGGATAAAGAATCATCAGAATATTATAAAAACTGGCAATGTTGGTATGATTGGATAGAACAAAAATAGAAAATATGTTAGTAAATATTGTTAAATTGTAATAGAGGTAGTAATTACACATTCACAATAAGACTTATTTATAAATAGGACACCAATAATGATAACAAATAAGGAACCACAGACTGTTGATAATGGAATTGTTCGTTTTTATTCGTTTTCTTTTTCTTTTCCTTTTTCTTTTTTTTCTTTATGTTGTGTATGTGTTTGTTTATTATTTTAGCTGTATAATCAATAAAGTTTGCAAAAAAAAAAAGAAATTCATCATGTTGATTGTCAAAATTTTGGTGGGTTATTTCACTATTTTTTTCAGAATAAGAAGAAATTATTAACCAATTTCTTAAAGACAGGGCTCTTTCTCAGTTATCCAATGGGAAGATTTGCCTTGTTATATCTTCTTTTGAAAGTGAATTGAGATATGAGAACTCATAAATTGGCTGGTTGGTTTTATGCCATTAAGCTAGTGTCATCTCAATGACCACACAGATAGACCTTCTTCAAAATCATTGGGTCTCCAAACTGGCCTTTCAGAGCTTCCAACTATACATCAATAGCCTTTGTAATCAAAGATATTCAGCTTGCTGCTGGAAGCTGTAAACTGTTGGAAGAATAATATACTGTACTATGAAACTGATTGTAAAATTTTGTAAGTTGATCAAAATCTACTGAAATAGGTTGCTATAACAAATTTAAATCAGCAAACAAACTCAGGACATATATGCAAATACCTTGGCCAGGCTAACATCTTGCAATTTTTAAAAAGTGCAGGAAATCACATTTACCTTGTGGATGAGTTTAATGTCAGGTATTATCAGTCTGCTGATGATATTCAGTGAATATTTCAATCCCAGGCTAGCAAGCCTACTCTGTCAGGATCTTGTCCCTGTGTCTGAAATCTGTAGGAGTCAGAAGGATGTGGAAAAAGCTCAAGCCCAGCCCTGACAAAACCAAGTGGCTATGGTTTTTTGGACCATCCAGATCTTGATATGCTCCATCCTTAGTCCTAAATGGGGTTGCACTTGGCCTCACAGTTTCTACTGAATAAACAAGTGACAACTTGCTGGGAAAGATTTTGAACAGATTCATCTAATTAATCAGTTGCACGCATATGTGCAGCCCTAAGAAACTTTGATCACCTTGTGTTTGGATCATTGCTATGGACTGCATATGAAACTACACTTGAAGATCACTCAGAAAGTGCAGATATTCCAGAACACAGCAACATACTGTAGGCAACTTTAGGTATGCCTTGTTATGTCCATGCAACACTTTACTGTGGAAGCTGCATTAGTACATTTCAGTGTGCTGATTATCTTTTATAAAGCTCTTCATGGCACAGAACTTGGTTATTTGAGGAACCACCTATGTTTCACAGTTGCTGTCCATCTTATATGATTCAGCAGCATGTTCTGGATCCCATTGATAAGTAATACATTCAATGGGACCAAGAAACAGGTCTTCTCTGATGTAGCATCTGGCCTCTGGACTGATATTCTTCCAAATGTGTGCACAGTCCCAGTCTATCCTTATTTAAATGTGCCCTCAGGATTTGGTACTTTTCCCAACCTTAGGTTGTAATGGGTGTCAGACTCCTTTTGGATTGACTGATTTGTGAGATGGTAGTTGTTTCTTTCTAAATATTTTTTTTTACTGCACGGCTTTATTTTAAATTTTGCATATTGAATGCTGCCCAGAATCACAGTAAAGTTAATAAATAAAATAGCTCCATGGTTACTGAAAACAAATAGCACAATTTCTAGGCTTTTTGAGGTAGAAAATAGTGTGTAAGTGTAAGCCTTATTATAGGCATGCTAAACAGCTAAAAATAGAAAACCCCAAATGCAGTCTTGTCTTGTTAACAACTGTGCTGTGGCCTCATCTGTTTTGCAGCCCTTAGATTTTCCCCAGAGGCTGAGTTGTGGCCCTTATACCTCAATTTATTGAAGAAAATTCTCTTTAATCAAATTGAACTGCTTAACAAAACCAAAATAAGAATTTATCTGGCCAGGACAGTTCAATTATCCCACTGATTGTAGAACAGAATTTTAAAGGATTAAAAGAAAATAAGAGAGTTATTATGATTCGAAAAAGTTAAACATGGTTCATTTAAGAGAAGGTATATGGCTTGAGCTTTTAAAACATATTTGAAGAATAATAATTTTTAATGGTTGCTAAAATACCATAAATATAACCTCTTTTTCCTCTCTCTTGATTTAACTGTGAAGGTTTTTTAAGCATCTGGTGTCCAGGTTGAATTTGTCAGTGGCATTATTGAGAACACTTGTTAAAAGACCAAATATTTTATACAAAAGGAGAAAAATATAAGTTATCACATGAGCAAGTTTGTGTTGCTCTCAGCTTACAGGATGTAATAAAATAAGTGTTTGAGTGTTAGACGTCTTTTGTAGATACTTAATTATGGTGTATTGAACTAATCCCACTTTGAGATGAAGTAGTATGTCTGTGAATTGATCACTAATGTATACGAAATACAAGCAATGGGTCCAGCATCCATAAACTTGATATTTAATATTGTAAAACTTTCCAACAGTATCTGCAACATGGTTCTTCTGTTTTGCAAAATAGTTTCTGGATGGTTTCAATTGTCTTAAGAGGTATAGGTATAGGTAAAACATGTGTTATATGTCACATATGTGTTTCTTTTCCCACAAATAAAGCTTACTAACAATTATTTTCAGAAGTGTTGGATGAAGGCTTCCAGGTTCCAGCTTCAATAGCAGAGAGGTATAAAGTTGGTCGGACTATAGGAGATGGAAATTTTGCCATTGTAAAAGAGTGTATAGAAAGGTGAGCAAGCTCTTTCCCTTATTACTGTTAAAGCATTTTCTAACATTAGACTATTGCTAGATCATATCTCTATTTACAAACAATATGTAACAAAATAGTGCCTCGACTATATATGAACAACAACAAAGATTCCAGTTAGGCCTATAAAGAAAATATTTTTTAGAATCAATCTATAAATTAAATGCTTTTATTTTCTATCGTCCCTTTTTCTATATTTGGGTCTTACAGGATATATATGCTTTTCAGGAGTGGGATGCTACTGGTTCAGCCTGGTTCTATAGAACCTGTAGCTCTGAAGAGCAGCAAACATGGAACTGGTTCCATGTCTACTGCTCTGTTTGGCCCAGCGCCCATCCGGGCTCTTGGCTGTCCTTTATTTCCTGCTTTTTCAACCTCAGTTGCTTTGTACTGCATAGCTGAGGTTGAAAAAGCAGAAAAGAAGAGGAGTTTGAAACGCTGTGCACCCGCGTACAGTGCTTGTCAGCTGTCCAGGCGGCACAGCTGAGGTTTTTTGGGAAATGGTCTACACACACACGCAAAACGCACTCTGACCAGAGGTGGGATTCTACCAGCCGAAGAACTGGCAAATCGCACCACTGGTTGGCTCCGCCCCACCCCACCCACTTACTCCTTACCTGGCATGCTCACCATCAAACTTGCTTACTAAGTTGCTATTTTTCCTTTTTTTCCCTGACCGTCAGCTGTTCTTCTCTGCCGAAGATTTAGATTAGCTAGAAAGTGAAAATCGTTGCATTTTTGCTTTCTAGCTAATCTAAAAATAGAGCTGAACCTTCCTTAGGACCAAAGCTTCTATTTTTCAGTGCAGACTCAGGTAGCCGATTGCAGATAGATAGATCCCTGAGTGAATCTGTGAGTCTGTGAGCAACTGAATCTGCCTGCCTGCTTTGCCTGCTTTTGGGTAAAAATTGCTCTTTTTTTAAATAAAAAATTCAATATTTACTTCAATATTTATAATATTTACATACAAGCCATGCCCAGCCAGTCACATGATCACCAAGCCACGCCCAGCCAGCAAGCCACGCCCAGACAGTCACATGACCACCAAGCCACACCCACAAATTAGGCCACACCCACAGAACCGATTGTTAAGAAATTTCAATCCTACCCCTGATGATTTTAGAAAAATAATGCTGTTTAAAAAGCTTCATATATAAGCAGGCACAGTATAAAAAATAAAAAATAAAAAGAAAGTCCTTCCTTAACACAACTTTTTCAGTTTTGACTTCCAAATCTCTGCTGCAGCTGTTATCTACAGTAGTCTGTGTATGCTGCACTGGTTATAATATATAAAATATGACATGCTGAGGGTCAACTCAACATAAAATAGCTGTTTGGTAAAGAAGAAATTTTGGGGAGAAATCCCACTTTCTCGCTTTAGGAGAATTTTGCTCATGTCAGAAGAATTTCCTGTGCAGCAGCATAGGCCCTTCTGTAGACAGGAATTTATGTGTAGAAACTAGCTGCTATATGCAAAAGAATCTTGGCCTGATGGGATAAGCTGTGTTTATTACAAGCAACCAAGGCAATCACAGGCAAATGAAACATGTGTTCTTCCAGAATTATCTAAACAATATAGATTGGTGGATAATTAAATAAAGACTTTATTCCGTTCCAGTACTGGGATTGGAGTAACATTGATTTTTTTGCATTTCATTCTTCCTGTCCTTCAAGAAGTTCAAGGCAGCTTTCATATTCTTCCCTTATACTGACACCTATCAATCTGGGGAGAAGGATCTGTCTAGGCTGAGTCAGGGATGAAGTTGTGTCCCCAGAAGGCTAAGCTTTATGTCGCAGTTTAACAAATGATTTAACAAAGCAAAAAAAGAAAAGAAAATGCTGTATATGTCCGTGATGGCGAACCTATGGCACCCATGCCACAGGTGGCACACAGAGCCATTTGTGCCGGCACGCAAGCTACAGGCAAACTTACCTCACTGCGCATGTGCATGCCTCACAGCTGATTTTGGGCCAGCTTGAGGCCTTTTTTTGGCCTCCAAAGGCTTGAGGAAGGCTTCTTCAGGCTTCTACAAGCTTTGTAGGCCGAAAACTAGCCCCGTTTCGTCACTTCTGGTATTTTGGGAAAAACCAGGCTGAAAAAGGCCTGAAACCGGCCCAAAATCAGCTGTGAGGCGCAGTGCAGGTAAACGGGCGGTGGGGGATGGGGTGGGATTGCGCATGCATGTGTAGGGGGCGTGGAGGGGCACGCATTGCCTTCTGGGTGCTGGCACATGAGCACGAACATGCAAGCACGTGCACAAATTTTGGCACAGGAGCCCAAAAAAGTTAGCCACCACTGGTATATGTCATTCCTGGACACTCAATAGAATTGTGTAAGCTCAGGCTATCCTACCAAAGTTTTGCCATATATTTGAGCACATCTGAAGTGTAATATTTTAAGGTGAGGAAAAGTAAAAAAAAAAAAAAAAAAGGAGGTAGAGTGGAGCAATTCAAATACCACACTGAATTTAATATTGCTTAATGAGGCAAAGAATAAAATAGCATCTGCATATATTTTGGTATCACTAGAACTGGTAATATTATAAAATTTGAATTTTTTTAAAAAAATAAAAGTTGAACATGCAAGCCAAGGATTAAAAAATATGGGGGGGGGGGTGCGGCAGGAGGAGAGGGAGGAAGAAGGGGGAGGAGAATTCCAAATGGTAATCTATATAAAGATAGCTTTTTGATGATGAAGTATCTTATTTCTGAAAAACTATATTATGCCAAGAAGCCCTCTAGTGGGAAAATGACGCCTTGCTCAGGGAGTTATGCTGCTTTTTTTTTTTTTTAACAATGCTGCAATAAGATAAAATGTGGGTGGACTTCTTATTTTTCCTAAGCCTTTGCTTTAAATAGTGAATTTAAACTTCATTTTAATCTTTAATGTTTTCATTTCTGTTAGCAGTTATATTATTTAAATCAATATCCTATATCTCTTCATGTTTCACAGCAGCTTGCTACAGTAATGAAATAGAAACTTTCTAAAACGTTCCTTACTGGCTGCTGGAAATTTTTTAGTCATTTTTAATAAGGTATACATTTAGGCAACTCTGCAAAATAATCTCAGGTTATGTGTTAAATTGTAAAATGTTGTCACTATTGGGTAAATCAATTTAATTTGTTTCTTCCTTCTTCTGAATGTTGTTAGGTCAACTGGTAGAGAATATGCCCTGAAAATCATTAAAAAAAGTAAATGCAGAGGAAAGGTAAGTATCGAGATCCACAATGGAGCATCAGATGTATCTTATGTTCAGTTTTTGAATTAGATCAGGCACTCCAAGTTAGTGGTTAATTTAAAAAAAATGTTGTCCAACATTTGCTGAACAACAGATGGAACAAGGATCTGGCAGGGCACCGTGACATAGTCAGATGGTTCTTTACAGAAAAAAATAGCTTACATTGACTCAGAATTACATACCAATTGGAATCTAATGTGATGATGTGAATAAACTCTTGTGATGTTATCTTTGAGTTATTTGGCCATATGGAAACTGATGGAATGGATAGGAGTCCCTGTAATATGAGCTTGGCTACATGTAGACTTCTTTGAACACTTCATCAGTCGATGAAATTAGTTTATTATAATATGGTCTGCATAGGGCTGCCTTTGAAAATAACCCAGAATCTATAAGTATAACATTCAGCAGTCAAGATGATTTTTTTAAAAAGGCTACCATATTGTAAAACAAGTAATGAGAAGCAATGCAGATCTTGGGGCAGGTGCACGGAATGTGGGAAGCTGCCACAGAAAAGGCACTTTTACATATTGCCATTAAGTAAACATCTGGAGGGGCCTCAAGACAGATCTTGATTCTCAAGCATAATTATATGCAGAAAAATGCTGTTTGACTAGTCTGGTCCCAGACCATTTAGCATTTTTACTTGGAGTTAAAAGCAACTTTTTAAATTGTTCTACAAAACTATGCAACTTGACGAACCTGACATGAAAACAACAAGATGTTCAGTTTAGTAAGGATGAGAGGTCAAGGCATAATATATTGGCTTGGAGAAGTCCTGGGAAGAAAAATATTAAGAGCTAAAATGTCTAAAGAAAATGCAGCTGTTATTTTCTTTTTGCTTGGGAAAATATGATTTGTTATGCAGTATATAATTTTTGAGTTAAAAGATTGGAAGTGTAGTTCTTTACAAGCATACTAAAAGAAAATATTCAATATCAGATATGTTAAATATAGGCATGCTTAAATCTAAATAAAACAATTGCCAGTTTAATCTTCTACCTCTGTTTTACTTTTGATATTCATTTTCTCAGCCTCAGCATAGTCGTTGACTTATGCATTAATTTATAAGGGTTTTACAACTTCTTGATGAATACTGAGTTTCATCTTTCCATTATGTGAGTTTCATCTTTCCATTATGATGCTCCATTAAAGGAGATTAGTTAAGTGTAGTTATTAAGGTAATGGATTAGAAAGTAGCAGCCCATGGGTTCTAGTCCTACCCTAGGCAGAGAGACTAGTGAAAGGATTTTGGGTCAGTCAGTATCTCTTTCAGCCTTAGAAACAAGGTCCTGGCAAGCCACCACTGCCAAGAAAACCAGAAGTTGAATATATTGATTCTATCTAGGATATGGCATCTATAGTCATGACCTCTGTGGTTGACTTGATAAATTATAACAACAACTTACCTCATTAAATAAGACAAAAGTCCTGGAGCAACTATATGGTTTTTTTTCATCCTCTTTTCATAATTTTTTTCTCTCCTTTTATGCAGGAACACATGATTCAGAATGAAGTTTCTATTTTAAGGCGGGTCAAACATCCCAACATTGTTCTCCTGATTGAGGAAATGGATATGCCCACTGAGTTGTATCTTGTCATGGAGCTTGTAAAAGTAAGTACAGATGAACATTTATCAGCTTCTGCTTAGTTTATTATATATTTTGTACTGTTTTATTTGTTTAATGTCTTATAATGTATACCAACCAGAGTCATTTGATTAGATGGCTGTAGAAATAAAAAAATAAAACAATTTTTGAGGATACCAAAATAGGCTTGAAAACAGACTCTGCTTGTGAAAAGATTGCCATGTACGCTAGAAAATTTTATTTTCCTTACGATTGCACAGGGGTGAACTTTCAAAGAGGGAATTGGGATTCTACCTGGCCTTTCTTTAAACTCATCCATATCCTGATGAGGAGAGTCACACTCCAGCTGTGGTGGCAAATCTGCTAGTAATATAAAGGTTCTGTGGCAGGAGTGTCAAACTTGATTTCATTGAGGGCTGCATCAGGGTTGTGTTTGACCTTGGGGGGGGGGACTCAATGTCACTCATGTTGGGGGCACTTGTGGTGGCCAAGTGCTAAGGCAGACTTCCCACAGACCCTCCCTCACTCTTATTATAATCTCCTTCCTTCTTGCCTGCCTGCCTTTTTTTCCCCTTCCCTCTTCCTTCTCCTTTTTTTCTTTCCCCTCGTTTCTTATTTTTCCTTCCTTGCTCTCTTCCCATCCTTCCTTCTTTTTCTTTGTCTTTCCTCTTTCTCTTTCGCCTTCTTGCATGCTCAAATGCAAAAGGAGAAACATTTATCCTTTTGTTTTGTTTTTAGCTTGTTTTGCTAGCCCTCTAACCGGGAAAACGAAAGAGAAGGAGAGCTGCAGGAGGCCATCATGGCCAAAAAACGGGCCTGGAGGCCACACACATCCTCCCCAAGCTCCATTTTTTTAAACACAGGCACCATGGGCCAATCCTTTGCTGTTTCCAGGGCTGTTTCTTTGCACCCAGTGGGCCTTGAGTTTGACACCTTGTTCTGTGAAAATGGAGTTAGTCTTCTTCTTGATTGTCACATATTTCCTTAAACCTGAGTGTATTCCCTAGCACGAAGAGTAAGAATTGATCTACCCAGCACTAGTAACCAAGTTGACTTTTTCATCTATATTCCTGATAAACCTTTGCAGGAGTCTCATATTATGTATGTAGCTAATGATTCAATTACTATCAGTTAGGAACATAGATGCCCTTTTTTCAAAGCCACCAAAGAATACTTGGGAAGTTCCACCTGGAAGGTAACTGATTATGATGCCATCCGGATTGATGTGTCAAAAGAAAAACCAAACAAAATGTACAGCTGAAAAAGATTTAGTGTCATGTGCTAGTAAAAGTTTTGGTAGGTAGTTAAAGCAGTTCCCTTTAATCATTTAGTGGATAGTTCTGTAGGGAAGACTTCAGATGGCAGAGTTGCTGGAAGGCAGCAGGTGATTGGAGCCTTGTCATTGCACTGGATTGTTGTTTTGTGCACACAGTAATAAAAAAGGACAGAAATGGAGGGAGATTGCTAGGAGACAAAAAAAAATCTGTCTGCTTGAAACTGGATTAGATCATTCTTGTGGTCCTTTTCAACTCTAAAGCCAATGAAGTGAAAACTTCTATGTAACCTAAGGCATATACATTTCCCTATAATATTTCACAGAACAAATTGGATTCTTAAAAAAAAAGATGTGCATGTTTGGTATGCTTTATTGGAATTCAGATTTTCCTTTCCTTTCCCGATGAATAAGTCCCTGGTTTTCCTCTCCACAGGAATGGAAAAATATGGAGAGGTATAGTGAATGCCATTGGTGTAAACTAGATTTATCTATATTTTATTTTCTTAACTTACGCATTTAACTTCTATGCCTTACTATTTTCTATTCCCTTTCTGTGCTTTGCTTACTTGTGCCTGCCAGCCCCAAAAGGGAATGTCACGATGGGGCAGTCTGTTTAAAATTGAATAAAGCTTGCTATATGTTTCTTTTTCAAATAGTAAAGCAAGTATTCTTGGAAGCTTGTTGAATAATCTACTCACTATTCCCATTTACAGATGAGTAACCATCTGCTAAGGGCTGCTTTTTGAAGGCTTAACATGTAAATTAAATTCTCTAATGGCAAAGATTTTCAAGAGAAGGTTGCTGGCATGTCAAACTTTAGTTAATAACATTACGCTTTCATTGGTCACAACAAACTTAACATAAGTGGGTCCTGTTGCTGCACGTACATTCTGTTTTCATCCCAGGCATATCTTTCTGTCCTAAAATGTAAAAAATGCATTTCATAAATATAAATAAAAACAAATTTCAAATAGGAATTATGAAAGGTGAGAGAGGATGTGGTTGCTGGCAAGCTGCCATTGTATGTACTGGGACTAAATTATTATGCAAGACTTGCATTGCCCTAGTTATTTTAACAAGCATGATTTATGATAGGGTTTCTTCCTGCTGTTCAAAGGATCTAACTTCAATTTCCCATGAGAAGGGAAATATTATAGCATTTCTTTTGGAAGGAAGTAAATAAGTAATTGGTTATTGTTCTTCTGGATATCAGTGCCTTATGGTGAAAGGTGATAAGGCTGTTCTTCCATCTTATCCCATCCCTTTTTAATTAAAAAAAAAACATTTTAAAAGCCGTTTCCAGTTTGTCTTGCATCCAGAAAAGTGCAACATTAGTGAAGAAATCAAGCAGTATCATTGACTAGCTAATAGTGAGTAATCTATTAAAAAATTATGACAATATGACTGAAATTGGGAAGTTGAAGAGTTGCGTATGGAAAGTAAAATGTTGAATTATATTTAATTAGATTACTTGCAAGATTAGCACATTAGGGCAGGGTTCCACAAAGTGATCAATATTGACCTGCTAGGCTTTATGGGATTATTCACAGGGTTCGTATTATCGTTATGGTTTTCATATGTTTAAATTGAATTTGGCTTTTTTTATCCACCTATTGAGTCCTTCTGAAGAACCTGGGATAGATGGATGCTGTTTGATGGTATTAAAAATTATTGTTAGAGGAAGTAAGCTGTTCCAAGTAAAGCTGCCTTTTGCAGTTGACTGATGTGATTTTGTCAATGCCAGTCAGTGATCAAGTGGTGCTCCACTTGTTTTGTAGTTGTAAATCACCTAGTATTTTGTAATAGACACCACTTACAATTGATACAATTAGTAGCAGTTGTACTATTAAGTGGTATTTATTAAAATGTTTTCATTATTATTTGAGAGTCAGCGAACAATCTGAGTTGCTTTGTGATGGGTGGCAAACAAATTTAATAAATAAATTAAATAAAAATAAAACAATCTGAAGCTTCATGAGAAGTCAATAAGTTGAAGAGTTGGGGAATCCTGCATTAGGGTTTTAACAGGACATCAGCATTTCCCTGTTTAGTTTAAATATTTCACATTTTCCTTCTTACCTGTCAATTTCCTTTCCTCTTTCTAACTGTTGGAAAAAGTTTTACAATATTTTATTGGAAGGATGGCAAACTGAAATGTCAGAATCCATGAACAGTTAAAGTGCACTTTTCTAGGATAAAATTCTTTGAGTTAATCTCGTCATTTATAGATATATAGAATGTCCACTGCAGATTTCATTCTTTTCTTTAAGAATGGAAATTCTAAGATGTCCTGAAAGAAAATACTATCAATTATTATGATCTTTCTCCTGAATCATAGTAGAATATACTAATATGTTACATTCATTTTAATTCAGGGAGGAGATCTTTTTGATGCTATTACCTCCACAAATAAGTATACAGAGAGGGATGCCAGTGGGATGCTGTACAATCTGGCCAGTGCCATCAAATACCTTCATACCTTGAACATTGTTCACAGGGATATCAAACCTGAAAATCTGCTGGTAAGTAAAACATCAAATGGCGATAGATATTTTGATGCATATAATTCATAGCAATCATCTATCAATCACTATCTCAAATTTCAGTCAATTTAGGGGCACTTTCAGCTTAAAATAGTTTTCAGAATTAGAACAAAAAATGGCCTTACTAGATTGAGCCAAAGTCCATCTTAGTCCATAATTTTGTTTCACACAAAAATTTCAGATGCTTCTGGTACACTAACAAGTGAGAGATGTAGAAAGGACTTGAAAGATTAATGCCAGCCTTGTAAGGTAATCCAGACAAGAAATATACCCAGGAGTACTAGTTCTATCTTTACTGTGTAAAGATAGTGTGTAAAGATATTTTTGAAGTATGACACTACATCTTTCCCCTATTGCCTTTACAACTAGGGAAGGCCCCTTCCAAGATGTTTGTATGTTTCCATTCCTTCTATGGTCTCAGATGTTTCTTGTTTAACCATTGCCCAGTCTGCAGCTTTTTTGTTTCCCAAATCATTCTCACACCCCAATATATCAGCCTATTGATTAAAATTAAAATAGTACTTATCGGTACTATTTTATATGCCCCAACACAAATGTTTTTTGTTGGTTTAGAACTATTAATTGTAGAGGTGGGTGTTTGATGGCTACCAAGCAACTGTCCACAATGAAATCCAGATTTTAAGAAGAAAAGAAAATTAGTATCTGTTTTCTTCCATTCCATTTCTTTATTATTTCTATGGAGGGAGTTGCTGCCTTTTATAAATATGATAATGCAATATATTACAATGACTCTTTGGAAAGGGTTTAGGAATCAGAAATAGTGAAAAGTAAAGCAGCTGGATTGTTGGCTATTACATATTTTAATGATCATGTAATTTTGAAATAATTTTCAAGTCTCCTTCAGAATGTTGATTTTAAATCCTGTATAAAATGTAAGTAGAATGTAAAACAAATGTCTTTATTTTCAGTTCTTCAGAACCAAGAGAAGCTATGATGGTTAGTTAGTACACGAGACAGTATCCTTTTTATAGAAAGTCAGGTTGGGGTGGCTTAATGTGCCTCTGACTGAGATCCTAAAATATCTCCCATTATCTTTCACTCTTAAACTCTGAAAAATTTTGATCTGAATGGAGACGGCGGTTAATCCATTTTTGTATATGTGAGGGAATGAAGCCGAGATATCTGCATTTGGGAAAAGCCGCTGCAACCAGGCAGAAATGCTCCCACTCCCGCTTCCCCAAGGATAGGTTCAACTTATCCTTTCTCCCAAAGGGTAGTAAAGTTTATTGTCTGAGAAACTTGAAAGGAGATGGATTCATTAATTCTTTCTCCCACTCACAGTTTACTCACAAGCATCTGGTAATTTTCAGTGTCTGACTGACTAACCACACCCTGATGTTTTTTAGAAACTTGGTGACATACATAGGTCATCACCCCATCCAGGCCCTTAACTTACAAAAGTGTGGAGGTATAGGAGAGAAGGAGAAGGAGATAACAGGAAGCTGAAGAAATAGAAACAACTTCTAAGAAAGTGGTCTGAGAACTATTACAACCAAACAAGTGAATTATCAGTCAGTTGCCCACAAGCTATGGTAAACAGCCCATTGCAGTGTGATTCCTGCCTAGAGCTTGGCCTGGAACTCAGCAGCAACTAGAAGAGGAGCAATCAGACTGAAACAGTACCTAATTCCAACAAGAGCAAGAATTTTGGAAGGAGACAATGGTTGCATGCCTCTTTATGAACATTAAGACTTTTATTTATTATAAAATAATAAACTCTTATTTACATGGCTACATTAACTTTCAAAGGCTAGGAGGATGAAATTAACCCAGGGCAATAGGAAAGGTGTGTATGTGCGTGTTACAATAGGCCTATGCTGTATAGTTTTGCATAGTTAACTTCTACGCTGTGATGTGTCCAGTTCTTAGAAAACAAAGAACCATCCCAGTATAGAGAGATTACTGAATTATATTTCAAAATATGCATTAATCAATAAGCTTTCAGTTGCTGAAGAAAATTGGAATGTCTATTGTTTATGCAAGACTGTAATAGTCTAGGCTCACTTCATTTGGAAAGCTGAGTTTTCCCATTTTAATTGGAACATTTTTCCATAATTGCTACTATTTAGTGTGATTATTTTGTCAAATCATGGGATAGCTTTATAGCCATATAATAAGCCCAGGAGAACAACTTCTCTGACTGTTGCCATCTGCAGTGATCACCGAGCAGCTTAGAAAATATGGATAGCCTTTAGAATAATAGGATGCATATGGTAGCACACAATTATATGTAGCTGGATTCAATTAGTGTTGTACAATTACACTGTTTTATTGCTTAGCTAAAACAGTGAAAGCGCTACATGGTGAGTAATTTACACTAATCCACATCTCTTTAATTGGCCTTCAGGTCTCAAAGGAAAATAGAATTTGTAAAGACCTTACTTTTTGACTAAGATGAACTTTAAATGATCATTTACATTCTTTGATCTTGACAAGGCAGATAGTGAATATATTACTGTTTCTTATTTCAGCCTTAATTATATATTTCAATCTTTCTTGCTGAGGTTATAGTATTCAATCTGATATCCATCAGACTGCAACTTCCAACATTCTCTAGTAAGTCATTGCCATATTGGCAGGGAATTTTGGGAATTGTAGTCCCAGCATTTCTGGCTAATCCTGGACTGTGGGCATGTCAAAGATTTAGGACATGCAATATTTTCTCCCTCATTATATTTACTATATATTTATAGGAAAAAAAAGATTAATGTCTACATTTCTTCATTCAAAGTTTTCTTTTTTAAAATCTTTAGGAAAAATATAAACTATAGAAAATATGAATTCTTTTAGTTGGTCCTTCATAAACTGATGAAATTGTTATTTAGATTTGCAAAGATTTTCCTCTATAGTTTCCATAATCCTAGCTACACAGAATCTTTAATAAAAATATCTAAAACTATTTATTAAGAAGTAATGGCCAAGAAAAACAGTTTGTAAGATTAATTAGATGTTCCCTGAAAATCATTGTTAAATATCTGAAATGTTATTAAAAATGTTGAGAAATAATTACTAGTATAGTAGTAGATCTGCTACATCAGTAAACATGTTCTTAATAGTTAATAACCAGAAGTATACATATGTTTTTACTACAGCTGCAGTTGTATTTTCTTTCCTTATACATTTTGGTGTTGCCATTGCTATGTGTTGAGAATTTGATAGCGTGTTTTCTAAAGACAAATTCCGGTCGCATGAATTTGTTATAAATTAATTGGAGGGAATAATACATTTCTATATTTCTATATTGCCACTTCAGAATATATATTTGATGATATAGTGGCCCGTAATAAGAACCTTTACATTATTCTTATTGCAAGTAAATTATGAAATATTATTTCTCTTTGCCTCTGATCTTAGAATAGTTTTGGTTGTTGCTTTGCTAACAGTTTAAAAGAAAAAGTGTCCTAGGAAAATAAAAAGAGACACAAGGGAGAGTTGTTAGAAAAACAGCTTACAAATTCCTGCACATCCTAGAAATTTGCCCTAGAAATGTAGAATAATTGAGGTAGGAAGTGCACAAAGGCATCCTGTCACCAATAGGATTCCATTCTTAAAGGATGTATTAATATGAAAAAGACAAGCTCTGTTTGTCTCTTATTCTCAACAACTAACAATATTTGATGGACAATTTATGACCAAGCAAATAAAGAGCTTAAAAGAGTCTTCTGTTTATCTATCTAAATAAAATACTTGGTCATGAATTATACTAAATTAAAGATTAGTTGTTTGTTTTTTATATTGTTTATATTCATCATTTTTCAAAAAATAACTCAATGTGGTGGTGAACATATCCAATATATCTTCATCCTCCTTTTTTCATTATGACTGGTATTTTCAAAAGCATAGAGCATATATTCTTTCAAAGGAGTACTTGAAAAATAAATTTAGTTTCTCACAATTGTGGTTTGAAATGTGCTGCAGTCCCTAATCTATATTCATCTCATTTTGTATGATGGTTCAATAGCTGATGTTACATTTTTAGAAAAGAAAATTTATAGCCTCCTGTGTCCTTTGTGTAACAGTGGACATGAAGATATATATTAATCATAACTGTAGGTAATTGCCTGGCTGCCCATCTTTTTCCCACAGGTTATCCTTACTTTCATGAAATGTTTCATGGTAACATTTTATAGCAGTGGACAGAAATGGTTTTTCTTACAAGTAAATGTCAACTGTATTTTTTCTGTGTGATTTACCCAACACCTACTCTTTTATGGGGAAGTTTCAAATATGTTATCAAGACTTCCATGACCTGTGACAGAAAAGAAAGTGGAAGTAAAAAAATAATAATAATCCTGTGCCACTACATACTGTAAATGATTTGGTGTTTTCTTAAATATTAAACTTAATATTTTTAAATCTGTAGATTTAAAATATCATTTAAAAAATCTGCAGATTTTAAAAAGAGAAAAAATATGTAGAATTTAAAAGAATATTATTTTTAAAAAGTCATCTAGAAATGAGACAAAATCGACTTTCTGAAAACCAAAAGTTTCATCTCTTCCTACTATCACATTTTAAACACACAGGAAATTAAAATGAACATCTTTCCCAAATATTTTTAAGCGTTTGTTTGACTAATTAAATTCTATGTTTACCAAGAATAAAACAGTGTCTAAAGGACTGGAGTCACACTATGCCAAAATTGTATATCATATATCGATGGAACTATGTACATAAAAGTTGTATTGCCTTTGGGCTCCTATATTTTAGTTATAATATTTGGTCTCATGGTTGATGTTCATTAAACTGAAAACTGGTTAGTTTCAAAACCTTTTCCACTATCTCCATACTACTTTGCCTTCGTCTTTCTTCCTCACTCCAAATTCACACATGAATATGCTGGAGAGTGGCAGGGTCTGCTTCCTTAAAGTATATAAGGTTGGCTATTAAAAGAATATCATATTTCTGGCATAATTTAATTGTTTTAATTTTGTTTTCAGGTCTATGAGCACCAAGATGGAAGCAAGTCGCTGAAACTAGGAGATTTTGGTCTGGCCACAATAGTAGATGGACCTCTTTACACGGTCTGTGGAACCCCCACCTATGTGGCTCCAGAAATCATTGCAGAAACTGGGTAAACTAACTGCGCCTGGTACAAGGGATTCAATGGACAATTATTTTTCCCCATAGGATGAAGCAATGTTCTTTGAAATAGAAACCATACCGAATTTGAATTTTGATATCTTATATTTATTTATAAGTTTGTCCTTATATCATACAAATGTGATGTAAACTACACTTTTATTCAGATGAGATCATTTAATTTAATGAAGATCCTTACCAACATATCATTTTCTGTTGCCTTTATTTCCCTTAGATCATACATTCTTGGTTTCCTAACCATAATCCCTTATCAATTTTAGATATGGCCTGAAGGTGGACATCTGGGCAGCTGGTGTGATTACTTACATCCTGCTGTGTGGTTTTCCTCCATTCCGTGGGTACGAGCTATGATTTTCTATTCATCTCTTAACTATTCTATCAGTTGCCCATATGGTTTTCTTCCCCTGCCTGGGTGTAATATTGGCTGCTAGCCTCCTCCCATTTGTAAAACATAAAATAGCAATAGAGGAACATATTGTTACTAAGACTTAAATACTGGGGGGAAATCTCTTTTTTCATAGAAACTTGAGTTCTATGTTACTAGAATTGTCTGCAGTGTAAACCATATTTAATGGAAATAAGAAATATGCAGGGTTATAAATGTCCGAACCATTCCAATATAAAACTGACTGCTTTATGAGGCTTTTTTTATTCTCTTCTTCTTTTGTCTTTTCCTTAAATTTCAAATTTGATATTTGTGTTTATGCTGGTCTATGACTCTAATAAATATTTGATTTGCAATTCAGATTGCCCAAGTAACCCCACTTATGGCAGTGCATAACAAACATAGTTTTGCAGCATTTTAAAAAGCTTTTTGTCTTTTTGCTTGTCTTTAATTTATTAGGAGTAATGAGAAAATGACAGTTTTATTTCTTTGTTATGCAGAAGTGGAGAAGACCAGGAAGTTCTTTTTGATCAGATTTTGATGGGACAAGTAGAGTTTCCATCTCCATATTGGGATAATGTATCTGACTCTGCAAAGGTATATTAAAAATGTTTTTTCTTTCCTTTAGAGCATTTCTTTATGTTGTTCTATTGCAATATATCTATATATATATATATGGATGGATCTTTGGTTATTCGGGTTTTCTCCCGCGTAAGATTGGAAGTATGTATGGCATTCAGCTTTGTTCGGGTATTTTCCCACGTCATTGTAGTTGTGCTTTTAAAGTTGTAGCAACATTTCGGCAGAATCTCATCTGCCATCATCAGGCTTCTGTATAGTGTTCATCTGTGAGTCAGACTTTTACAGACTTTGCTACAACTTTAAAAGCACAACTACAGTGATGTGGGAAAATACCCGAACAAAGCTGAATGCCATACAT